ATAAGGTCACCTTCAGTTTGGAGGTGAGACCTTCAACATACCTCTTTGGGAAACATAATGCAACCCATAATACTAACCACGAATTAGAGGCCTCATCTTGGGTACAATTGTCTCCACTACAATATTAAGTTGCTGTTTTTTCTGGTTCTTTAGAAACATTTCTTCACAATGTTAATCCTTTGTGGAAATGTAGGAAATATGATGTTATGTTTAATAAAATTCTTTAAGGAGTAGAATTTTTAAACATACAGTATATGCCTAGAAGAGATAAAATAAGTTTATCATGTTCCTGCCATGGTCCCTAATGAGTAATAACTTTCCTAGATGTTTGTTGAATGCATAAATGAATAAATCAGAATTAATATTAAACTCTACTTAGCATAATTTAATTTTTCTTTGATAATTCCAAACAATTTCTTCAGGTAAAATGCAGCAAAGTACTAGTTAAGAAATAACCACTTGCTTGTACTCTTAATGACCACTTATTGTACCTCACATCTTTCTGTCCAAAGAAACTCAAAAGTGAAAGTGTTTTCTGTCTTGGGTTACAGCCCTCCATTTCTATTGACTCCCCCATTTATTACATATTATTTTATTTAGCTTAATTTAAATTACTTTATTGATTGATGAACAACAAGGTTCCTCCACCTAGAAAATTCCCTATTTAAACCTGCACCAGGATTTTCTGTCCTCCAATCTATTTTTATTGTTCTCGACAATCACTGAGTGTATTTTGATTTCGGTGATATTATTTGAGTAATGGCTCTTTCCATTTCCCTTTAATGCAATACACAAAGAATTAAAATCCAAAACAAGAAACAAATTACAATATAACTCATACATTACACATGAAAGCAGTTCCCTCAATCTTAAAACTGTGTATTATCTCTGCATGACGTCAGAAGGTTTTGAGAATGGAACTTTAAAAAGTTCCATTGAGGAAAACATTTGAAGGCAAAGACAAAGACATAAATGCCAAAACTCTAATTGAAAAAGTCCCTGGCTACTATTTATCAAGCTGCTACTGTTTCCATTTTACAGTTCTTTTCCTGACACATATTCAATTATTTGCTAATCAAACCTACCACTAAAGCCAAAAATTTCTCATGATTTGGATATCAAAATATTTAAACTAACTAAAGTGAGTTTATTTTTCCTTAAAAAGAGGGGAAAAGAAAGCTATCGCTCATGGAAGAAAAATTTAATCTTTTAGTCACATTTATTTCACTCATTTTCTCTGTAAAAGATTTCCAGTTGTGTTTTTCAATAATTATATGCTTGTATTGATAGAAAATCAGCAGGTATCACCACCAGTTATTATAGTCATCTGCTGAGAGAAACTAAGCAAGCCAGTGTTTGGAGCCAGTTTCCTGAGCACAATGAGAAGAGGCAGATTCTAATCAGTTATCTTCTGACACTGTTCCCGTTGAGTTACATCAGTGGTACTTGACATTATAAAATGTCCTTTTCTTTCAAATATAACCTTCTGTCCTCATTAGTAAATGTCAAATGTAATGAAGTGTTTTTCTGACTTATTTTCTTCCTGATATAATGGAAGAAAATACTAATGAGTTTGTAATCCAGAAATTGTTTTCAGAATCCCAAACCAATAGAGTCAACTTGATGTCTGTTTATTAGATTAGTTTTATTCTTTATATTTTCATTTAATTTGGAAGGAATTTTCCTCCTTATATTTCTTATTACCTTTTCCCTACTTGGTATAATTTCTTATTCTCCCTGAGAGACGTAGGTGACAAATACCTCCAATTAGATTGTGTTTCTGAGTTCAAATCAGAATGATGTTGATGATCAGGCCTCTTGCTATGAGCTAAGTACTTTCTAAAAGCTTGTGTATATTTTTCTTGAAAGCTATTCTCTTACTTAGCCCTCCCCACCTTTTTTTTTTTAATTTTGATGTAATAGCTGACCAACCCTGTGGTTTCTAGCAGCTTCCCATAACATTTCAATCACAATATAATGGAGCCTTGATTTCTTTCTGCTTTCTCAAAGATTAAACACACCCACAATGTGATATTGATACATTTTGTAACATTAGAAGAAGTTTTTTTTACTGTCACAATAAAGTCAACATCTTATGAAAAGGGGACACCCTGGAAAAGGTCAGGAAGAAAGAAAGAAAGCCACAGTTTTCCAACACATTATTCAGTGTCTGTGTTTGAAAACATGCTTGACAGGAAGGGTCCAGGTCACCTTTAGCAGCGTCTGCAGTGCGTTAGCTGTGTCCTCTATTGAGAAATCAGTGGAAAGCTGTTTGTATAGAGAAGGCAGTAGGCATCGAGACTGTGCCCCTGTTACTCAGTCAATGACCAGAAGATATTCGACCAAGAGGAAAGCCATTTAAAGTTACTTCACAGGAGGTGAAATTAGAAAAAAAAAATTACAAAAATAAGAAGATTATATTTATAGATAATATGTTCTGGAAAATAGTAATCCAAGCCAAATGTGGGGAAATTTTTAAGTAGACTGACTGGTTTATAAGGGATTCTGCTCCCTAGAAAAGAAAAACATATTGCAAAATCTCTTGATTATACCTGGTTTTTTGAAATGCAGCCTTTGGGAATTTGGTTTTGGTATATTATCCACATTCTCTTTTTCAGTAAAGTAAATATGCTGTTAACCAGATTAAATTTAATGAATACAAATATCCAGATAATCATGACTGGAAACATCCAGATAAGCTTAATATCAGCTTCTTTCTGCCTTGTGTTTGGCCCAATTATATGGAGTATGTCATCTCTACCATCTGTATTTTTATCTTTAATACTTGTAAAACAGTAAGCAAAGTACAATAAAATATTCAAATAATTGCCAGGTAATTTCTATTGTATTGGAGTGTAATTTGGGTGCATTGCATTTCTATTATTATGGTAGATACAGGACTGTCACCACAGCTTATTATCATGGGGCCATGGGCTTTATTTTAATGAACTCTATTTACTAATTACCATTTATGTGACTGTTTATAAATACTTTTTACATTAGAATATGTAATATTTCTCCTTGAATTCTGACACCACTTTGCATATTAAAGATCTTAACCTTTGTTGTCTTTGAAATAATACAAACCTATTTCTCAATTTATCGTTTGATTTTCTATCACCTCAGTTTTATAATGTTATGCATTTTCAAATGTTATAACATTTTTTATATCCAACAATTTTTAAGTACTGAAATCTATCTTTTCTTTTTATGTTCTGCCATTAGAAGTATGTTCTGAAAGATCTTTCCCAGGGCTGAGGATGTGGCTCAAGCTATAGCGCGCTCGCCTGGCATGCGTGTGGCCCGGGTTCGATCCTCAGCACCACATACAAACAAAAATGTTGTGTCTGCCGAAAACTAAAATAAATAAATAAATAAATATTAAAAAATTCTCTCTCACTCACTCTCTCTTTAAAAAAAAAAAAAGGATCTTCACCACTAATTTTGCTTTGTTTCTGCTGTTTTGGTAGAGTGATTTGTTCTCATCCTACTTTTGAAACCTTGTTTTTCTTTAATACTGTATAACGAAAATCTTATCATTAGCCCAGACTTATCCTTGCTCCAAGAGTAGAATATAATTATTGTTGGCTTCATGGAAATCCACACTGATGGCTAATTTTGAGTCCCATTTCATTCCCCATATTCTCTATAATCATTCACTGGTCCTCAACATCCTTGATCATCTTTCTCTAAACTTAAAGATTCTAATAGGATATGTCACACATGTGAGAAGTAGTGAATGGTTATGCATTTTGCCCTTCTGCCATGGTGGGGTGGAAGCAGCCAAGCAGGAGGGTGACTGTGGGGGAGCAGCCCCATATCCAAAGTGAGCAGCTACCAATAGTGACTCTATGAGACTTACTTCATTCTGATGGTAAATATTAGCTCTCCTTTCAAGGCCTATTAGATCTTAGAGGGAGCTGGAATGCACTTTGCATACAGAAGAGACATCTTGGGAATAAGGGGAGAAAGAGGATCCAGGCTGACATCAGAAAGAAAGATAACATTTTGTCCAAAATGCTAAGCACCTAAAGAGAACTAGGAAAGAGAAGTTAGACCTGAGTCTCCAGGGGAAGTGACAAAGGGGAAAACCAAAGAGCATTCAGATTCTGAATGATATCTTAGATTCTGAGGGAACAAAGAGGAGAGAGTTGATTGAATTGAGGAAACATTTCTTCAGCTACAATATATGTGATATATATAGCGGCCATTTTCATAACATGTCTGCCTCTGATTCCAAGATATAAATGTTACAATTCTCTTGTCGGCATGCAACCCCTGTATGTGCAAGCTGCTCTCTTTTATCTTGGGTTAGCCAGCCTCCCCACATCTCAGGAATGACAGCCAGTACTTGCCATTTATTAACCACTGTTTGTGTAGGAACCACTATACATGAATTAGTTCCTGTAACCTTGACTTGCATTCTAAAACTTAGAGGGGTTCAGTTTATAGAGGTTCAGAAACTTGATCATGTTTCCTTAGCTATCTAATGCAAGAGCAGGAACTCAAACTCAGCTGTCTGACTCAGAATCCACTCACAGCATGTATTTTTATTCTCATTTTATTGTTGAATAATGTCAGCACAGACATTTTTATAAATTTCCTTTTTTCTGAACAGTGGCTTGCATTAGTGTACAGACAATAAACACTATAGGAAGGATTTAATATATTCCTCTGGTTTTAAACTAAAGATCCACAAATTTTAGACATGTATAGTTTCCATTTTTATTTCCTATAGTTAAATGCTGCTTAATGGAAATGAACATATGAAGTAGATACCTTGAGCTACATCTTTCCCCAAAAAAGAATTTTTCAGAGTATTGCCTAGTTGTCATGAAAATCTTTAGGAAAAACAAGACTGTAAAAACAGTTTTACATTGTATATACATTTCTGATTCTCTGTTATGATGGTTTGTGAAACTATTAATCATTTCCAAAAACTATCTTGCCTTATTTCTGAGAGATTGTCATTTTTTTTCTTTTTCTTTTTTTTTTTTTAGGATACAGCTGGCCAGGAAAGATACAGGACTATCACCACAGCTTATTATCGTGGGGCCATGGGCTTTATTTTGATGTATGACATCACAAATGAAGAGTCCTTCAATGCAGTGCAAGATTGGTAAGTTAGAGCAAATATTGCCTTTACTAATAAGAGTGGTTTTCCATTCAGTTCTCTCTTCCTCCCCAAAACAATGACCACACTGCAATGCAATATGTGTGTTTATTATACACTGAAATCCCACAGTGCTTTATAAGACAGAGAAATGATGGTTGTGCTCAGAACCATTATCAAGAGATTGGTAAGAAGTCATTTTAGTGATTTTTCTTCCTTTTTGTTTATTTCAGGGCTTCACATCCTGTCATTCTTATTTCTGTGGAGACTAGTGCAGTGCTTTTGTTTTAAAAAATAAGTAATAGCTTGGAAATTTGCAGTTCGAAAATAGGGATCTATAAACAGTGGCCCTCAGGCCAAATCTGGCCCACCACTTGCTCTGTAAATAAAGTTTTATTGAAACACAGCCAGGCTCATTTGTTTATTGTCTATGATGCAACAGCAGAGTGAAGTAGCTGCAACAGAAATCATATGGCATGTGAAGCCTACAGCACTTTCTATCTGGCCATTTACAGAAAAAGTTTGCCAACTTGTTGTCTAGAAGATTTTTAATTAGTTTATTCATACTGAAAAGTTTCAAAGGACCAAGGTAAAGGGAAAGGCAAATTCTAAACCTTCTCTGATTTATGGCTGTGTCTAGCCTGATAATACTCTGTCCTCAGTGAATGTGATTTACCGCAGGGGTTTCTGAAACAGCTACAAATTCCTTTACCCTGTCCCAGCAGCCCCTCAGGAGGGGACAGAGTAGCCAAGGAGAATGAATGATCATTAATTCCTGCATCATAGATGAAAAGGGCTGTTTTTCTCTGGAAAGAGCCAGAGTCTAACTCAGGCTTTGTGTGCTACTAGATGGGAAAATGGAGCTCTCACTGGTTATGACCAGGACTGAGGAAACTGACTCTACATTTTGACTCTAAATAGTCACAGTTCATCTTATGTAAGGGGCATTAGATGGGCAATGGACAAGCAAAACAAACAGTGTTCCTGCTTTGTACTTGTTTTTGTTTTCTCTGATGATATTATCTAAAATGATTTTTTTGTACATACTTATCAGCTCAGTAGGGTCAGATGTTATTACAAACTTCAATTTGCTTTAGATTATTTATTTTAAATGCTAATTTTTCATCTGGGAAGGCACATCTTTCTTATTTATACACTTTCACAATTAAAATGTATGGAATAATACCACTGACAATAAAAAATTAAAAAAAAGAAATGCAGTTATAAATTGAAAAAAAACAAGACTAGTACCTATATGAAAAATAATTATATTGCACTGGGGGACATGTAAGAACACTTAAAGTTCTTTATTGTAGACTGAATATTGTAAAAATGTTAGTTCTCCTCAAATTAATGCAGAAATTCAAGACAATTCCAATTCCAAACCAGCACATTTGGTACAAAATGGAATGAAATAGAAATTTTAAAGATATACACAAATCTACATGGGAATTTGGTTTCTGATTGAAGTAATATTCAAATTAGTGCCAGAAAGGATTGTTCACAGATAATTGCTGTGCAAAACTGGGACACATATATGTCATGCCGAATGACAGCTTTAACCGGGACGAGTCTCACTGCTGGAAGTTGTTGAGACCCCATGCTCTCAGGCAGGAGAAGTTCATGAATGAAGTTTCAGACTTCAAGGTTCCAAATTCTGTTTGCACCCATAGTTTTTCTTGCCCTATTATTTCAATGAATGTTATTTGACCATATATGGAAGGAGACATTGATTTCATTAAAACCAAAGGGCAATTACATCAGGAGCCATGCCACTAATAATCTTGACTCTAACACCAGAGGAAACATGGAAGTGCTCAGCCTCCTCCTGCCTCCACATGCCTTGCCCTCTGCATCCCCACAATCCAACTTTAACGTGCATGTTTGCTCTTACTTCCTTACATGCCAGCAGTCCAATCTTCCCCCTCTTGGTCTTCTTACACCTCACATTCTCTATTTAACCCTATTTTACTCCCCTTTTCCTTTGAAGCTCTGTTTCCTATCTTTCGAAAGATACATTTTCTAGATTATTCTTGTCTCCCTGTGACCATTCCTCTTTCTTCTTCCAGATTGCATGTCTTCTCTTCAGCTGTGAATAAATGAGTCCCCATAAGTTTCTTCATGGGTGTATTCTCTGTGTCCTTGACCGACTTATCCATACTTACAACTTCCTTCATTCATCACATGTTTGGTGGTTCCCAAATTTAAATTTCTGGCCTCAGTCCATGTGATAGCTACTGTGCTGCATTTCCAGTTACCCCAAATATTTCTCCACCTGGACATCCTGCCAGTGCTCAAAATCATTATTTTCACCTGAAACTGCTCACTTTCCTGACATCATTATTTATGTTCATTACAACCAAATATTTCATACACTCAGGGTTTACCATGAATCCAGCTCTAACTTTCAGTCATCTCAGTCTAGGGTCAGGTCATGCATGCTGACTTTTTTCTTATTTCATTTTTGAACCTACTCCTGCCTTTCCATTTCTTTTTTGACTATCCTTGCTCAATGTCTTACTTTCTTTTGCTTCTCATCACATTAGAACCTTCTAAATGACCTTTCTTGCTTTAGATTTTTTTTCTGTCCCAATCCGTTCTATCCCACTGCTGGTGTAAGATTATTTCAAAATAACACAATCCTAAAGATCATGGAAGACCCCTATCCAAAAGTCACGACTCAACTTGCCTCCTAAAGTAATTAAAAGTTTCCGTGCCCCATTTCAGATATACCACATCATGATGCCACTATATATGCATAACTTTCTTTCTCACTATTTCAGAGGCAAAGGGAAACATTCATTGTTTCTGGAACCCAGCCCATACTTTCCAGTTTTTATACTTTTTTTCTTAAATTTATGCCACCCTTGGCTTTGCATATATTTTTCTGCAAACTCGTACTCTACTTATCCCCAGATGAAAAGATTTTTCCAAAGTCAACAAAGCCCATCATATAAGACTGCATTTACCTACTCATTTTCTTTTCATCCACAGTTGTCTGATCATTGGTTTATTAGATTTTTTAAAAAAAATTTGTTCAGCAAACATTTATTGAGCACCTACTCTTTGACAGCCAATCTGTTAGGCATCATGTTTGGAAGCTATGCCAACATTTACTATCTCAGTTAGTGGATCTACCATCATCCCATTATCTGACATAGAAATTTGAGTCAAGTCTGATTTCTCCCTTTCACCCATCACCTTTCACTAACCACAAGATCCAATCACTTTGGCTTTTTTAGTGCCTCTCGAATCTATTCCTCTTCTTTCTTCCTAGTGCCACTGTCCTAATCCAGACTGTCACATAGGAACTTTTCTTTTTAAAAAATATTTTGGGTACATTTTAATTATACATAATAGTAGGATTCATTGTGATATATTTGTACATTCACATGACATAATTTGATCAATTTCATTCCCCATTGCCTTTGCTTTCTGTCCTCTACTGGTCTCATTTTTTATTTTGAGACAGGGACTTGTGAAGTTGCCCAGGCTGGCATGAAACTTGCAATCCCCTGCCTCAGCCTCCAGAGTAGCTGGGAAAGTCATATACCACTGTGCCTGGCACATTTAGGAACTTTCTATCTTATCTCCTCCTTTTCTTTTATTTTAAGAATAAACCCACTTCAATCTAATGTATGAAATATGATATGTCAAGAGCTTTGTAATGTTCTGAACTGGTAGGAGCCACAGCAAAAGTATTATGATACATGGCACCTTTGGTTAAGGTGACTGCCAGCTAGCCATTGAGATGATATGATTATGTTAAGATTTACATTCATATGGAAATTGGACTCCTGCTGTTCACCTCAGCCTGCTAAGGGACTCATGTTACAGGACTCATGTTATGGGACTCCCGGAGAGTTCCCATTGGTTGGGGAAGGATAGTAGGAGGGAATTTCTGGGGGAGGTGCGGGGGCCCCCAGTTCCGGTAGACGCACACACGTGTGTGGACCAGCTTGCTAGCCGGGCGCACATGGGGCACTGGGGGCCTTTTTAAAAATAAAGCTTTGTTCCTGCTTGAGTGGCTTGTGATTCTGTACCCAGCCGGGTTGCAGCAATGAACAACCAATTAAAAAAAAGAATAAATTTAGTAATGTCCTATCAGTGCTTATGGGAGCATATGTGAATCACTATACCCAGACTCCACGCTAACCTACTAAGCCACATTTCCCATGGCGAATATGGGCATATTTTCAAAGCTGCACATGTGACTCTGAAACTCATTTCTGACCAAGACCATTGGTTAGAATGAGATGCAAACTGTCCTGATGGATAATGTACTTCCACATAGCTATATCATTGGCATCATTTCCTCCCACTCCGTGCCACTGGATCTTGGTTTCAGCCAGATAGACTTTTCCTTCTTATTTTATTTACCAAAATAAAAAATGAAAAAAAAAAGAGCACATATATTGAAGAAGAAACAAGAAACCTTTTACAAAGGTTTCTTCCTTCCTCTTCCTAGAATATCTTCTTGTTACCATTTCAAATTTCTCTTCACCTTGTAAACTCAGCTCAAATTGGTGAAACCTTAAGGACCACTTAACTCCATAGCACTTCTATGGAGTTTTAAAGTACATGGCCACCTCTTTTCCTACATCCATCTTTGTTCACAATGTCCACATCCTTATCTCTGTGTCCATGCTAAGCTAGCACCTTCTGCAGACCAATAAAGAACCTAGTAGATGCCATTGTTTCTTGATTACATTTTGTCTTATGTATTGGATTTTAAGTTCATTAATCTTTTCTCCCCGTATTGAATACAGTACAATGCAATATATCAATATATGTGCTTTTTTTCATTTTTTATTTTGGAAAAATACACATAACATAAAGTTTACTGTCTTAACCATTTTGGTGTGTCTAATTGAGTGGTATTAAATACATTCATACTATATAGCCATCACTACCGTCCAACTCCAAAAACCCTTTTTATCTTGCAAAGCTGATATATATAAATATATATTTATATATATATTTATATATATATATATATATGTATA